GTGCTTTCTCTGCAAACAAGCTCTCACTACCAGTGGCTGATCTGTAGTTGGGAAGCAATGTTTTTTCATGTCTGTTCTAGAGCTTTGGAAAAGAGCTAGTTACTTAGCTGGGTTTTTCTTTTATATCCCAACTCAGTACGGAGTCGAGAACCTATCTTTAGCTCTACCTGAAGTATTAGCCATTGGCCTGATAGTTCTTTGTTGCAGGTCTGTCTCCTGTTCCTTGGGAGGGACAATTATATGTCTGAATTGGAGAAGAAACTCTTGAAATGTTTCTTTCCAAGTTATAATTAGAAAATTAGGAACCTTGGATGCTTTACAGTCAAAATACGTGTCTGAAATTATTTCAAAGGCACCTTTTGCCTTGATATTAATGGCTCTATGTGAGCAAATCCAGACATGCACTGGGAAAGGCAAACTGTATGAATGTGCATTTCTTTTTGAAAAAGTGTATGAAAGGAGCCAAATAAAGCTTATTTTCTACATAATTATTTGAATCTTATGCTGTTTCTGAACCTTTTTCTTCTGTATATGGGCTCTTCTACATCCAGGCTTGAGATGCCATGCCATACCATACCATGACCACATAATTTCAACTTTATTTTTCAGTATTGGATAATGTTTTGTTTTGTTTTGTTTTTAAATAGCAGGGGCAAGAAACCTCATATATTCCACAAACTTGCACTGTCTCCAGAGGACATACTGTTACCAGTAGCCAAGAGAAATTACTTGTGAAGCTGCTGCTGTTTTGTGTGAGAGGCAAGGCTTCACAACTGGTTTTGTCTTAATTTTAAAAGATTGAATGTTACTGTCACATTTCATTGAAGTAACGTGCACTCTAGGGGAAGGAAAGATCCCTCTAAATCTCCATAAATGTCTTTTTTTGCAAGCCCTGTGTGTTTGAAGTGCTGTTTTTGCCTGTATAATAATCATCAGTGAGAAATGTTTATTCCCATAATTGTGAAGTATTAGTGCTCACATAATTAATCAAATTTCTGTGGTAGCTGTTAATCATCTGCCTTCAGGATATGTCACATCCAGTCCCTCATTTTTAGACACAATGTGACTTTTGCATTTGCTCATCTTACACGTTTGTTATTAAGATTTAAGGTAGCTTAAGCTATTTTGTGAGGCTTATAACTGCAAAGTTTCCAGTCTTTTCAAAATGGTTATCTCCTGGTCATTCTGGTTTTGGTGAGACATACGCTTACTTTCAAGGGGGAGAACATACTAGGTAAGTAAATAACTGGGAACATAAGTCAACTTTTTAATATATCTAGGAGAGAAGATAAACGAGAGAGTCATTTTATTGAGATCCTTCCAGCTCATTACTTGTCCCACTGCAGTTCAGCTTCAGACTCCAAATGTGCAGCTGATTGTAAAAGAGCATGCTCGTAAACAGTGGTTTTAATGGCATAGCTGAATGGCTGTGGGCTGTGAAATGCATTTGGTTATAATTGCATGCTAGGTGACGTAACTTGGAACAAATGAAGTGGACTTAAAATTGCAAGGTAGAAGATAGTTTTGGGAGAGCAAAATTAAGACGATGACTCGGTCTGCAACCAAGAAGGTTGAATGATCCCTTATGTTTCTTTGGACACAGGCTATGAATTAGATCTGGTGTGATCCTCTGCCAAAACATGAGGCACAGAGAGAACCAGGAAAACAAATGCGGAGCAGAAGACAGACCACCCAGAAATTAGGAGCATGCTGGGTGAAAAGATTTCAGAATGCACAACTGGAGATTGGTTTGTTTTGGATGTGGGTTGCAGCCTTCTTGGTCGTCCAAGGAAAAATTTCTACTGAACACAGAAACTGCAAAGAAGAGGTATTGCTATGCATTGTAGGAATCCCATTTCCAGTTACAGAAGAGCTGGTATTTTCTGTAAGCATCTGCTGTTCCTTATAGGTAACAGCAGGTGGCCTCTACTGCAAGGGTTTAGGTTAGTAATAGAATTTCAGTGACAGGGGAAACTTCCTGTAGCTAGTGACAATATCCATCTGTGTTTGCTTCGTATATCTTCTGCAGTGAACTGAACTAGATTGTGGTTGGGAAATTAAAAACAAAATTGGAAAACTGTGAGAAAGGTAGAGGAGCTTACAGGAACACATCTTTCCATGATTAAAACCAGAAGTTTGGCCTCCTTCCAAATGCAACAAAAAGAGTCAGGTTGAAGTGTAGAGGTCTTGATTTTCTGGCTTTCTTGCTGGAGAAAATACTGAATCCCATGTCTCCTCTGTAGGCTTTAGTATAATATCTGAGTGATGATGCCTAGTCAATGTAGTCAGGAGGAGATATATAACCTGTGTAACTTTTGAAAGTTAGTATATACATAAACGAACCCTTAAAAGTCCAAGTGATCTTATATTTAATAGAGTTAAGCTGAAAAATACCTCCAGATAAAAAAGACCAGACATTCCAGTTTCTGGAATTTTTTTTCCCCTCTAATACTATTTCCAGACTTCTGTAAATTGTGGAACACTAACACAGAATCATATAAACTTGGCAGTTTCATTTTCATTGGAAAAGACCTTTAAGATCATAGAATCCAACTATAAGCCAAACACTGCCAGGTCCACCACTAAATGATGTCCATACAGCTATACACATCTCTCGCATACCTCCAGGGATGGTGACTCCACCACTTCCCCAGGCAGCCTTGTTCCAATGCCTGACAACTCTTCCAGGGAAGAAAGTTTTCCTAATGTCTGGTGTAAACCTCCCATGGAATAACTTGAAGCTGTTTCCTCTCATCGTATCACTTGTTTCTTGGGAGAACAGACTGACCCCCACCTCACTACAGTTTGCTTTCAGGTTGCTACAGAGAGCAATAAGGTCTCCCTTGAGCCTTGTTTTCTTCAGGCTAAACAACCCCAGTTCCCTCAGCTGCTTCCCCTGAAACTTATGCTCTTGATCCCTTACCAGCTTCATTGCCCATCTTTGGACATGCTGGCCACACTGTTTCTGATACAAGCCAGGATGCTGTTGGCCCTTCTTGGCTACCTGGGCACACTGCTGGCTCCTGTTCCAGTGGCTGGCGGCTTAACACCCCAGGTCCTTTTCCACCAGGCAGCTTTCCAGGCACTTTTCCCCAAGCTTGTACCGTTGCAGGGGATTTTTGTGACTCAAGTGCATGACCCAGCACTTGGCCTTGTTGAACCTCATACACTGGGCCTCAGCCCGTTGATCCAGCCTGTCCAGAACCCTCTGTACAGCCTCACTACCTTCAAGCAGATCAACACTCCTTCCAAGCATGGTGTCATCAGCGAACTTACTGAGAGTGCACTTGATCCCCTCATCCAGATTATTGATGAAGCGATTAAACAGAACAAGCCCCAGTACTCAGCCCTTGGGAACACCACTTGTGACTGGTTACCAGCTGATTTAAGTCCATTCACCACGACTCTCTGGGCCTGACCATCCAGCCAGCTTTTTACTCAGTAAAGAGTAGGCCCACCCAGACCATGAGTAGCCAGTTTCTCCAGGACAATGCCCTGGGAAATAGGGTCAAAGGCTTTACTGAGGTACAGGTAGACAACATTCACAGCCTTTCCCCCTCAACCACTGAGTGAGTCACCTGGTCATAGGTGGAGGTCAGGTTAGTCAAGCAGGACTTGCCCTTCATAAAGACGTGCTCACTGTGCCTGATGACCTGTGTGTGGATCATGATAGCACTCAAGGTGACGTGTCCATAACCTTATGTCACATTGAGGTCAGACTGACAGGCCTGTAGCTCCCCAGATCCTCCTTCTGACCCTTCCTGTAGATGGGTGTCACATTTGCTAACTCGGGGTCAACTGGGATCTCCTCATTTAGCCAGAACAGCTGGTAAATAATGGAAACTGGCTTGGTGAGCGTATCTGTTCACTCCCTCAGTACCTTTGCATGGATCCCCTCTGGTCCCATAGACTTGTGTTTGTCTAAGTGGTGTGTTACATCACTGACCATTTTCCTTTGGGCAACGGGGGCTTCATTCTGCTCCCCATCCACTTCTTCCAGCTCAAGGGGCTGGGTACCCACAGAACAACTGGCCATACAATTAAAGACTGAGGCAAAGGCAGCATTAAGTACCTCAGCCTTCTCCTCATCCTTTGTCATTGTTTCCCCCTGCATCCAATAAAGGATGGAGAGTCTCCTTAGCCCTCCTCTTGTTGCTAATGGTCTACAAATAGAAATTTGTCAATTTTTGTTGCTTTTTACAGCAGTATTCAGATTAAGTTGGGTTTTGGTCCTTCTGATTTTCTCCCTGCATAACCTCATGACATCCTCGTAGTCCTCCGGAGTTGCCTGCCCCTTCTTCCAAAGGTCATAAACTCTCCTTTTTTTCCTGAGCTCCAGCCAAAGGTCTCTGTTCAGCCAGGCTGGTCTTCTCCCCTGCTGGCTCATCTTTCAGCACGTGGGGACAGCCTGCTCCTGAGCCTTCAAGATTTTCTTCCTGAAGAATGTCCAGCCTTCCTGGACTCCTTTGCGCTTCAGGACTGCCTCCCAAGAAACTGTCAACCAGACACTAAAACAGGCCAAAGTCTGCCCTCCAGAAGTCCAACGTGTTTTGCTGTTGCTCCCTCCTTACTTCTCCAAGAACCAAGACACTATCTGTGACAATTAAATGATTTTTGGAGGAAGGACAGTTCAACCATTTTGAGGAGATACTGATACTGCTGCTGGTAAAGATAAGTGTGGCATTATTTAAGTTCAAATGCCAACTTTTTAAAGATGTGTAACCGTTAACTAAAACCTAGAATTTTTTACAGGTAAGTTTATTTACTGATATGAAGAAGTAGTACACACTGATGTCTGCCATAAAGCTGACACCTTTCTTAAACCAATGCAGAATATTTTCAAGCACT